AGATCCATTTAAATACAATTTGATCTGAATGAATATCTCATTTAAACCTGGAAGCAGTTTGAGGATTTTGAACATTTTGAACGTTTCATAATATTTTTAATTGCAAAGTTATTAAATTAGAAAAGAATGCAAAATAGAAGGATTTCCTCCAGTGATTTAAAATGTTTATTTCTCACTGTATATTTTCTGAACTTGTGCTCGTATATTAGCCACACTCACAGTCTCTCATTGATGTCTTGTGTCTTCTGCAGTTTTCTTTCTTTTTGTAGGCGGGCCAGCACAGATCTATCCACCTGTTCTTTATTCCGTTCATACATCCTGGTTAGTATAGTCCTTCCTTCAATAAATAGCAACAAGTGACCATCACAACTAAGTGGACGTCATGGCCTAAACAACCATAGAAGATTATCTGATGGCAAAATCAGGACTAAGAAATGATGGATGCACATATTCATCAAAATACATGTCTTTTTCTCACCCTCTCCATCATTGTCTTTCAGACAGAATAGGATTTCTGGTGTTACAGCACTATGTAGTTCCTCAATAGTGATCAGCTGGGATCTGCTGCTGGCAATGTTGTCCAGTATCCATCCCCTTATATGTTCAACATCTTCAGGCTCAATCTAACAACCCACAGGCACTCTTAAACACAAATAATGCTACATAAGTATGAGAGCTAAAGGAGGAAGCTCAGCGGTCTACCTCTCTTATGTGCTTCTCAAAGGCCTCCAAAAAAAGCTCCCGTGGAGCTGTAGCTGGAGACTCTGCTGCTTTCTTCACAGCATCCTCCACAAAAGCTTGAACATCTGGGTGATCTTCTGTCACCTCTATTGCTGTAAAAAGGACACATTACCAATTCAGGGTTATTTTATTATTATTTATATGCTATTATAGTATTCATTAATATTTTGAATTAGATTTTATTTGTATATTTTCAGTTTTATTTTTAATAATTATTTTAATTTAAAGGGGTCATATGATGCGATTTCAAGTTTTCCTTTCTCTTTGGAGTGTTACAAGCTGTTTGTGAATAGATAAGATCCCTAAAGTTGCAAAGATTAAAATCTCAAACCCAAAGAGATATTCTTTATAAAAGTTGCGCATGTAGGGCCTCTTCCTCCTCCTCCAGGTCTGCACTAGATATGCTCATAGCTGTGTACTTAAATGGCTCTAAGTGAGAAAGTAAAGATATAGAGAGTGAGAGGGAGTGGCTGCTAATTTAGAGTGAAAGAAAGAGCCTGAAACAGTCAGACAGTCCACTCCACATACTCTCCATATGGTAAATCATCTCTTTGAGTGTGTCCTGAGGGGTTTTGTTGCTGATGTCCAGTATAGCATAGCTGCAGGTGATTGTGTGCTCCATGTTTTCCCAATCTGCCAAAAATTGCTTCAGCTGCACACTAAAAGCCTCCATCTCTGGGCCGTCAGGATAACCATTTTCCCACACTGTTGGCAGCGCCATCTCTGCACACCCAGATATATTTCGAAATGCACAAATTAAGTCATAAAATTATAACTGACACTCAAGTAAAGGTAAATAACAGTGAGTGCTGAAGAAAAAAATATAAAGAAATATAACAAACCTTCATCGTTTAGAGTTTTGTCTTCTTCATCAGACTTATCAAAACTCTCTGCAAATACATAGAAATTACTTATCAAAACATACTTTAACATTTAAATGAAAAAAGCTGAATTTTAAGAAGCCATTACTCCAGCTGTCAGTGTCACATGATCCTTCAATCATTCTAATATGTTGATCTGCTGCTCAAGAAATATTTTTTAATATGTTGAGAACAGTGCTGCTTAATATTTTGAGGAAACCATGATGCATGTCTTTATACTTTGATGAATAGAAAGTTAAAAAAGAACAGAATTTATGTGAAATACAAATAACCTTTGTAACATTACATTATTATGGTAGTGTATGCGCAGTGTATGACTGATGACTTCCAGCAGTTTCATTACTGTCAGTGTGAATGTAGAGTATCTGTTGTTGGGAGATGTTAAAGAGTTCTACCTGACTCCTCATGCAGGGTCTCTAGTTTGGACTTGGTGTCAGTAGGCTGTGAACCTTTCTTTGAGTCCTCAGTGTGTTTCCTGCAAAAAAGCATAAAAATATGTTGAAAACAGTACCTTACCACCATTTTAAAATATGTAAACCACCACTTTATTACATTTCCATTATGAAATTGTTAACTGTATCTTAAACATTCTTTTTCTCCACAGGTTTTTTAGATCCATTTAAATACAATTTGATCTGAATGAATATCTCATTTAAACCTGGAAGCAGTTTGAGGATTTTGAACATTTTGAACGTTTCATAATATTTTTAATTGCAAAGTTATTAAATTAGAAAAGAATGCAAAATAGAAGGATTTCCTCCAGTGATTTAAAATGTTTATTTCTCACTGTATATTTTCTGAACTTGTGCTCGTATATTAGCCACACTCACAGTCTCTCATTGATGTCTTGTGTCTTCTGCAGTTTTCTTTCTTTTTGTAGGCGGGCCAGCACAGATCTATCCACCTGTTCTTTATTCCGTTCATACATCCTGGTTAGTATAGTCCTTCCTTCAATAAATAGCAACAAGTGACCATCACAACTAAGTGGACGTCATGGCCTAAACAACCATAGAAGATTATCTGATGGCAAAATCAGGACTAAGAAATGATGGATGCACATATTCATCAAAATACATGTCTTTTTCTCACCCTCTCCATCATTGTCTTTCAGACAGAATAGGATTTCTGGTGTTACAGCACTATGTAGTTCCTCAATAGTGATCAGCTGGGATCTGCTGCTGGCAATGTTGTCCAGTATCCATCCCCTTATATGTTCAACATCTTCAGGCTCAATCTAACAACCCACAGGCACTCTTAAACACAAATAATGCTACATAAGTATGAGAGCTAAAGGAGGAAGCTCAGCGGTCTACCTCTCTTATGTGCTTCTCAAAGGCCTCCAAAAAAAGCTCCCGTGGAGCTGTAGCTGGAGACTCTGCTGCTTTCTTCACAGCATCCTCCACAAAAGCTTGAACATCTGGGTGATCTTCTGTCACCTCTATTGCTGTAAAAAGGACACATTATCAATTGAATGCTGTTTTATTATTATTTATATGCTATTATAGTATTCATTAATATTTTGAATTAGATTTTAAATAATGTTCTTTTTAGCAACATCATATGACCCCTTTAATTTTTGGTTTTGTTGTTTTGAATATTTCTATTTAGCTTTATTTTTCAGTTTTAGTTTTAGTAATTTTAGTACTTCAGAGGTTTAGAGTTTTAATCTAGTTTACGTTTTTAATCTAATGTTTATATTTTATTGTATAGCTTTATTTCATATAATGAAAACACCTTTTTATAGTTTTAGTTATCAATAACAAATAATTGTAGCACGGCGCATTCAATAGTATTTATAATTTATAGTATTTTAACACTGTTTAACTACTTTGCACTATTTAACTATTTTACTATTTAACTTCATACCTTTTTCACTTATTTCACTGGCTGGGTGTGTATCTAAAAATAAAGTGATTAACAATATGTTAAAGCACAGAACATACATTGTTATCAATGAAACTGAGGAGGTGTAAAGTCCATGTTGTTTGTGGATTGACCTCACCTGTGTGAGTTTCACCAGACTCTCCTTCATTAGTTGTTACATTACCTACAAAAATGAAGAAACACCATCTTAAAGATGTCCCAGAATGTCTTTCCAACTCAAAAACAAATTAAGAAATTATTCTATCATGCCATGGAGCTTGTTTTGTATATTTACCAAACTGGTGTTTTCTAACCTGATGCATTTGTAGCCTCAAGCTGCATCTTGGTCCTGACCTTCTCTAAGCCTGTGAGCGTGGCATCTTGATGCACTTTGTCCAACATGTCTTTTGTGAACGTACCAAGTGTACGCTCCATCAGCGCTTCAACATCTACCACTACAGCCCCATAATACTCAGCTAGCAGTGCACTCATTGTGCTCTTTCCTGAGCATGGTGGGCCGATCACAGACACCTTGCAAGGCAAGTGGGGTATGTGTGGCAGCAGGTAGCGTCGAGGGTTCGCCATGAACTTCTGCAGGGCTTCCTGAGATGACAGGATGTAGAACTTATCTATGAAGCTGGGGGAGAGAAAAGACTGAATTTATAAACAGCCCCTCAGAATAAAAAAGTTTATTTATAATAAATTAGTTTTCACTAACCCAACGGCAAACTCTGGTCTGCCCTTGACGATCCTGCCCTCTTTGAGCGCCACCGGACAGTTGCTGGACCATTGACTCTTTTGCCAATGAAAGCCTGGTGCGACAATTCTACAGGACGACAGAGTCCGAAACAGCTCTTCCTAAAAAAACAGACAAGGTGAAGAGGCACATAAAATGAAGTTCAGTTTAGAGAGGTGTGTGTTTACAGTAACTGACCGTGTCCATCTGATCATCAAGCTCTGCTTCCTCTGTCGGCATTAAACGCACAGGTACAGCTGTACATCTCACAGCCATGAACTCCAAACGAGACATTACTGACTGTGGACATGCATAGACAATTGTAAAGTTTAGTGTTTAAATCATTACGTTATATATCATATTATTTGAATGCTTTAGTGATTTCAAGACAGAATTATATCTTAAAGCGATAGTTCAGCCAAAAATGAAAATTGCCATTATTTACTCACCCCCAAGTTGTTCCAAGCCTGTATGAATTTCTTTTTGCTTTTGTACACAAAAGAAATTATTTTTAATAATGTGGGTAACCAAACAGTTGCTGGTCACCACCGTCTCCATCAACATTATTATTCAACAGAAGAAAGAAATTCATGCAGGTTTGCAACAACTTTTTATTTTTATTTTTATTGGAATATACAAAATACAATGAAAGAGCAATATTAATAAATCTATACATTCCTTTTTTCTATTAACAACTACTAAGGGTGGACACAAACATAAACAGTCACAACCCTCAGTAAACCCAAACCCCACCCACCCCTAAGGAGGAGAATAAAACTTAAGTACATTTTAAAAAAATAAATAAAATTACAAAAAAAACTGACAATTATACAGAATTAAATATAACAGAAAAAATGAACAAGAGATTACACAGAACAATTAAAATTAAATTGACAATTAAACAATTAAAAATACATTACAAATCAGTAAATATAAGTGGCGTCGAATATTTGAAGATAATTGTCTCCCCCTAATGAAACCAGTCTGATCTTCAGAGATTATTTCAGGAAGACAGGGATCCAGACGGCAAGCCAGCACCTTGGCTAATAATTTAACATCTGAATTTAACAAATTAATATGCCTCCAACTGCCACATTCAACTGGGTTATCACGCTTAAGTATAAGCGAAATAGAAGCCTGAGTGAGTGTTAAGGGAAGAGAGCCATTGATTAAAGAATCATTGTACATGTCTAACAATAAAGGTGCTAGTTGATTGGCAAACCTTTTATAAAAATCAATCGGAAAGCCGTCCGGACCTGCTGTCTTACCATTTGATAAGCTGAAGACCTTTCAAAATCTCATCTAACTGTAGAGGCTTATCAAGATCATCAGCTACAGCTGCATCAATACGAGGAATATCTAGACTGTCTAAAAAATGATCCATGATGGAATCATCCCCAGGAGGTTCTGATTTATAAAGGTTGGAATAATAAGAGAAAAAAACATCATTGATATCAGATGGATTTTTAGTTAAAGAGCCAGAAGAATCAAAGATCTGAGTAATTAGATGAGAGGCAGCTAGTCCCTTAAGCTGGGATGCCAGTAATCGACCAGCTTTGTCTCCATACTCATAATAAGTAGCCTTAGTTCTTCGAAGCATAAATTCAGCATTCTTCGTACTAAGCAAATCAAATTCCGTTCTTAACTCCAACTTCTTTGCATACAGCTCAGGAGTAGGATTATTAAGAAGCTGCCTGTCAATCTCAACAATGGAATTAACCAGGTCTTGTAATTTTTGTTTTCTTTGCTTGTACTTATAACCCATATATGAAATAGCATGACCTCGAATTACCACTTTGAATGTTTCCCATAATAAAGAGGGTGAAACGGA